GTAAATTAAATCTGTATTTGTATTGCACTTTTCAAAGCAAACAGCGAAACGAAAACGAAGCAATATAGCCGATTTCATAGCCACAGTCCCGTAGGAGACGCTCCGATAGAGCCGGGGCTTGCTACCTGGAACTACAGAACTACACGCATGCGCTACAGATTGCGCCCAAACGCTGTTCTGCGTTTTTTCTACTTTTTGGAAGCTTTCTTTTTTCTATTGTGCAGATAGTTTGCATTTATATACATATATTGACACCAATAAACATGCATCAAGTTTTAATATCGCAAAACGTGCACACATTTGCCATACTATCACTATAAGCACCAATAAACGTAAGTAGTAATTATATTGAGTAAAATAACTCCATATAAAATCATGTATATAATTTTTAAATATGATTAATAATCAAGATAAAAATAATATATAGTTCACCCTTAAAAAAAAAGGTATCAGAAGTGTAAAAAAACAGGGTACCTAGCTATTATATCTAGTAGCCTTATCACCTCACATTTTTATTATTTATTTTAAATTCCAGAATCAGCACAAAACACAAACTTAGTTCCAAAATAGCGGAGCTTTTATGATGGTAATGAAGTAATGTTTAAATATTTCGACATGCTTGGGTTACCCTGTGTATTTCGTGGGGAAACTTTTGAATACTATATAATATCTAAATAAAACAACACTCAAAATCTAAATGTAATTAATATTATTAAAATTGCAGCAATTACATTGATGTTCATGGAGTGAGATAATCGACTCCCCCTAAATGGCCATCATCTCTAGCCCGTTGTGCCGCCAACCTTTCACGATCATATCCATCTATTCCCAAGCCTAACCTCTCTATGTGGCTTTCTCCCAAAATTCCATTCAATTCCTGGTACTGTCTCGAGCGTCTGATGCCAATTTCTGGATCAAACGGCCAAGGCATTGATTTATGCAAAACTGGGTGTCCTGCTAGGTTGAACTGCACCAAATCACGCACAATCGTGAGAGCGGCATCGTTAGATGGGAAATTGTAGGCTATTAGAAGAATCTAGAACGATAGACATACTTATGTTTATAGACTCATAAGTTTATTTAAGGTTGCTATAGCATGAGTATCGTTTATTATTTTTTTGTTTCTTTATTTCAAATCGAATTAAAATACATTTGTGTTTCCACTTTTTCCACGCTATTCAATGAATTTAAACATTTTGTAACCCGATGCAACTTAAATACTTACAATTTAATACTGCATTATGCAACAACGGCATTTGACACAAGCGGAGCGAGTACTTACTAAACGAGTGCGTCAAAAAGTTTACCTTACGTGTTACATACTATACTTTTTCAACGACCATTAGTTTCGTTCTTATATCAATGGTCACGCGAAAAATGTACCCAAAAACCAACGGTAGTAGAAAATAGTATAATATGTAACAAGTGTGGTAAACGGTATTTGAAAATCAATAAGAAAAAGATCCTCTTTCAAAAAATTAGTGCCAACTAAATGCCTATTATTCCACCTCACAAATTCATAGACCACCATTCTGATTTCTCGTGATTCCATCTTCGTGCACATTCAAATTACAATAAGTAATGGAAATTGTGCCCAGTCAATAGACATAAAATATCTATCATCTCTAAATACCATAGACAATGCAATAAAACATTCATTTAGATAACTATAGGACACCCTAATACCAACCATTTGATAGTATAATCCCTGGTAAGTTAAAAAATTTGGTATTCCATTTAAAATAATCACGTTTTTTATAGTTGGGATATAAAATATGCTATAATGTTACACCCTACTGTCAATTTTGCTGACACAATTTATATATATTTTATGTATACATTCAGGAAAAGAAAATTAGATTATATTTTGAGTATCACAACTCTTATTAAAACGCACATTTATTTTGGTCGTAGAATCCAAAAATGCTATATAATGAGAGGTCCATTTAAAAAAACGAATTTGATAGGTACTTTTAACACTTTAATTAAAAAAGTGTCACTTTTTGGAAACCCTGTATTTTGACCACAACAATTCATGCCGTATAACGTGAACAACCCTGTAAGTATCGTAACCACAATTCCAGTTATTAAAAGCATAGGAGCACGATGCACTCTATTTCAAACTTGTAGTAAAAAACAACTTACCAAAGAAATGGTCACTTTCATTTTAAGGCGCACTTAAAATTCGTGGCGGAGCTAAGTACCTAATGGATTAATTTGCACGTCAAAAAAGTGAAAGTGCACGAGAACGCTGAGTGTATATGTATGAATAGTTTCGACCCCGACTTTTCCATGTTGTTAAGAATTAAACACGCTCATTCATGCAAAGACGATTGAGTAAGATGGCAAAATGTGACAATTATTATAATAAAAAAATTATTGATGGTTAAAACGATACTAATCGATAATCGATAAATTGCCATATATGTGTACATAATTAATTTACTGTTAATAACTATACGAGATGTCTCGCGAGTTTTTATCACACAAAACTTGTGGATTCCTCCTGTGTCGGTTGTTGATGAATCGAACTTCCTAACATTGGGCCAATCATTCTGTTGGCTTCTTCAGAGCTTAACTAAAACTGACTCGCATTCTACTCTGTACTTCCTTAGCTTGCGGAGTTATGGGAGAGGCATGAACATGGTGTCGGATAACTGATTGCCTTATTGGTGGCAGCCTTAAGACAAATAAACTCATTATCAGTTGCCGAACACAATCATGAAACCTGACACAAAATTTTATTAGATAAAATTAAAATTCTTGCATGTAATTAATTCTTCTACAAACGATAGTCTATATAAATCTTAACCACGACTCAGGTCTTTACCTGTTTATGTTAAATGTTCATGTTCTCCCCTCCACAAACAATATATAAGCATGTATGGTCTGTTCATAGATATAAGAAAGTGACCAATTGATTTTGAATGGGATTATCCAAGGGTTAACATTAACATACAATGCAACAAGATTATTACCTAAAGTTTCGGAATTTAAATTCAGGTAAAATTGTAGTCCGTAATAGAAAATAATTTTATACCTACCTGTGTTTAATATTCTTTGGTTTGGTGTACTACTTAGTTTAAGTTTATTAGTAATCATTCTTATTTCGTGTGTAATACAACGTGTGTTGAATCGTGTGCGAATTATGCAAAATATGTGCGAGTCTAGTGTATCTCAGGAGATGCTCCCGCCCAAATGTAGAAAACACTATTCTATTGAGACTAAGGAAGTTATAAACAATATTTATTTTACTCTCATTGAACGTGGTGCCAGCAGAAGAAATGGCCACATTGACGAAAATTCAAACATCAACTGTATGGAAAATTGTGAATAATCCCATTTCAGCGACGAAAAAAAGAAGCGATGCTGATATTTTCTCGAGTGTAGATGAAAGTGATCAAGATATAATACGGGGTAAAATTTACCAGTTATACGAGGAACAAAGCGTGCCTACATTAGATATCTTAATTAGGAGCCTTGAAAAAGATGAAACCGGTGTTAAATGTGTGTTAAAGGCAAGTTTTAATGGAATCTTTTAGAATTCGGAAATGGAGACTGGAATCTAGAAAAAAATAGGATTTTTCAGAGAACAACAAAGGCCAATTATTTACTTGGGTTGACTCAACTGATAAGTGGAAAACAAACGCGCCATCAAAAAGAGGTAAAAGATAACTATTTTGCATGCTGGCTCTAAAGAAAGTGGAAAACAAACGCGCCATCAAAAAGAGGTAAAAGAATAACTATTTTGCATGCTGGCTCTAAAGATGGTTGGATTCCAAATGGACTTTCTCCGTCTGCGGAAAATATTAAAGATTCTTCTCTGGATTACCATAAAGACACCACCGCTGATTTATTTGAAAGTTGGTTTAAAAACAAACTAGTTCCAAACATTCCTCCTAATAGCGTCATTGTAATGGACAATGCAAATTATCACAGTAGACAGTTGACTAAAACCCCTTCCTCAATCGTATATCCATATTGGAAATAATATAGAACAAATAATAATTAGAACAGGCGATGATAGCGATAGTGATACTGATATATTATGTGAATAATTTTAAGTAATTTAAGTAGGTAATAAAAATACATGCATAAATAAATAATTATTGTTTAGTATCTTTCCTAACAAAACCCCAAATAATTAAATTCTAAGCAAAGTACGGACCTTTTCGGCCATATTTCATTCTTACAGCTTGCCTGGATGTTTCCTTAATTCGTATCAATTTAGTCACTTTCTTATACCTATGAACAGACTTTACACATGCAGTAGAACGCGAGCCAGTTTCAATTAAGCTCTGAAGAAGCCAACGTTAGCAAGTTCTATTCAACAACAATCGACGCAGGAGGAATCCAGAAGTTTTGTAAATAAAACTCAAGTTATCTATTGCTCTTGTATATCTTACAGACCAAACAAGCTGACTTAAAATGAGAAGTATACTTTTTATTTCTGCTTTTATTTTAGATATCGGCATACATTGAAGCAAAATAGAAATATAAAAGAATAAAGGAAACCCTTTTCCACAAAGTTTTACACAGTTTTTCGCATTCAACTGATTCGCCTAGTGAAAATTAAATGTTGAAGGAATATTTGTTATGATATGCTATTGTAAGTCAGGATTATCGAACTTTTTATTCGAAAGAATATATTCGTATAATATTCTCGGATTTTCTTAAGTCCAACAGTTCAATTGTTTCTTAAATTTCTGCAATTTTGTCTTAATAAAATAATTAATTAAATTACTTAATTAATTAAACTCGATTTCATTGGTTCCTTGAAAGTCACAAGACAGATGCGCCGTGAAATCATCAAATATGAGACATACTTTACCAGCAAACTTATTTTAATATCATCGTTTCCTTTTCAATTCCTTTTTTAAACGAGCGCATTTTCAATCGAAGATCTGTGTCCATATAATCAATAACATACTGGATCGCAACAAAAAATCTGGACAACCCGTATACCTTATAAAGGGAAACTGTTTACCTCGTCTGCGACTTTCACTTTTGGAAGCGGTGACATAGCGCTTTATTACTGTAAATTTTATCGAAGGCAGTTGGTTTAAAAGTTTAAACGTAGGTCAAAATACATAACCACGAGATATTTTTCTTAGCGGGAAAAGTTATTGAAGAAACTATGGTGAATAAAATATTCTTGGCGGTAAGTATTTATTTAGGAGCTTAATTTATAACTAATAAATTAAAAATTTAGCTTTTTATTTTGTAAAAAAATTATTAACAATAGCTTAAAATTAGATAAGAGCGTATACTTAGTATTGCAGTATATCGTCTTGACTTTTGACGGCAATTATCGAAATAACTTGTCGACGGCAATAAAACACCTGTCTTGTCGATATGGTAACACAGAGCATCAGAGACGGGCTCAAAATATGAACATTAAATATATTATTTTCATTTAGATGTAACAAAATCACACTAATACTAATGGAAAATGCAATGACACTAAATATATACAAATTATCAACAATCACCTATACAAGTACGTTTTTATTAAAAATTAAATGAAAACAAGAGTCGACGTTAAGATTCGTTATAATGGACTCTATGTTATTTTGTATGCAAATTTAAGAATCTTCAATTTTTAAAATGTGCTATAAAATTACTTTTTTAATTAAATTTATTACACTCGAACTTAAAGTAGAAATAATATTTTCTGCTCTTATATTTGATTTTACTTGGTGCCACAAATGTTCTAAGAGGTTGCATATGCCTTGATAAAGAGGAAGACATAAAATAGTATACTCCATTATTTCACCTATACTATCACATACTTGTTATGTTTTAATAGCATATGTCCTTTCTTGTAACTGGATTCAAAGTACAACTACTGAGTGTCAGTTTTTGCACTAGATGAATTTGGTGCTTTTTGTAGCTTGCGGAATATGTTTTAAAAAATAATTTTGAAACCAGTTTTCACTAATATCTTGTTGACAATCTTAAAGTCGTTATAGTATTCTTCGCAGTGATATACTCGAGACATATGGTAAACCGGATTTGTCAAACGCCAAGATGATATACTTTGAGACCCGCTATACCTATATGTCTCACATTTTTAAGACTCTCCGATATAAAATTTATACAGACATCTCAAAAGTTAAATCATGCAATCTTTATTTGCGTTTAAATTTATTTTCACAGGTATATGTGTTGTAAGTGAATACCTAATTTTATTAAGAAAAAAATAACTTATAAAGCCTTAGCTACTAAAAGTCCAAATTCCTTTCAGATAATCTTCACATTTTGGGCATTATTTTATGCGAACGCTTTGCAACCGAAAGCACCAAATTTTCAATATTTCGAAAGGTATGTGAAATGTGTGAAAGGAAAGTGAACTCGATTTAAATTGAAAAATACCAATTTTGAAGGAAATTTTATTTAGACGAAGACGAGTAGTAATAAGAATTCTTTTCTTTGTCATACATGTTAATATTAAAGGCAAATAAGTGTAATGAGCGATTGTTTAATATTACTGTCCAATTCTGGTATCCGCTTGGGTTTTTGTTAAGTCATGTACCTCAGGAAACTCTGTGAAATCATTTAAATCGTTTATCCTTCTTTAAAATAAGTGGTTGTAACTATTGTTGATTGTGACAATGTTTGGTATAAATATTAAATAAATTAAACAATTTATATAAATATAAGAAAATACAAATATGATATAATTGTCATTAATATTTTGGCTTTGAAGTTTAAGTTTATTATTAGTTGCTAACAGTTTTTATAATTGGATTTGATTTTTAATTTAGAATAGGTTATTAAATTGTGGAAAAATTGAATTAACTAATATCTTAGCTTACTAATATTTCTTCGCTTATTGAGAGCATTTATCTTTTTTTCGTTTTCGTTTATTGCTAATTTTTTATAATAATTATATTGTGTTAAAATTTTAGTTTCTTGAAAATTAAATTCATGTTTTGTTAAATTTTCATATTTATGTAAAGCAGATGATACGTTTTTAGTATATTTATGTCCATTTATACGATTTTCCAAAAGTTAGCTTGTCATTCCAATATATTTTTTTGGTCAATTTAAACAAGGTATTGAATATATTAATTTACTTTTAACTGGAATTTCACTTTTTAATGCAGTAAAAATTGATTTTATTCATTTGTAAGATTGGTAACCAACCGTGCTACACAACCCACATCTATATAGAAATTTTATCAAAAATTAAACAAATTTTATTTGAAAATCATTTCTCTGAAAATAAACATGCTTAAACAGCGAAGTAAACATATAATTTCTAAATGTGATATCACAGTGTGCCACAAATTAATAAAATCAGTTTTTACTCCATTGACAAGTAAAATTCCAGTTAAAAAAAGTCAGATGTTGTATGTTGAATACCTTGGAATGACAAGCCAACTTTTAGAAAAACATATAATTGGACAAAAATGTACTAAAAACGCATCAACTGTTTTACATAAATATCAAAATTTAGAAAGTAATATTTTAACTCAATTGAACTGAGGTGGCTTTTACTTGATAACAATCCATTGAACACAATTAAATTAGAACATTATTTTATTTATTAGTTTATGACAGTTGTTTCGGTAACACCGTGTCTTTATGAAATACCATATACATTACATACAATACATATAAATATAAATATTTGATAAAGGCACGATGTTGCCGAAACAGATGTCATAAACTAATAAATAACTGCAAAAATCTGACCATATTTTGTTCTAATTAAATTATTTTTAACCTAAGTTAATAATTATCAAAAAATAGCAATAAAAGAAAGGGTTCAAATTAAGAAAGCTGTAAATTAGTAAAAATATCACTAAGGTAAGTAAATATTTTTATATGAAATGTTTAATTTATTTAATATTTGTATGTATTTTAGATTCTTGATAAAAATTCAGATTGTGATCGAAACATTAAATAAAACCTAAACCCAAGATTAACTCCAGTATTATATATATACGAGGTTCAAGAATTAAAAGAAGCTGTTATAAAAGAAAATTTATTTATTGCATATTACCAAAGTATTACATGATCTGATTTTGTTTTATGAATAAATAACAAGTCATCGAGTTAATAAATAATTAAAACATATAAATATGATAATATAAATAACGTATTTTCATGTATTCACTAAAATTATTAAATCGATTGATTGGTTTTAATATTTTTCAAAAAATAAAAAATATTAGTTAGATTTACAGATTTGTAGTAAACAAGTCTTAATTTTATCTTATTTGATGGTTTTACGGCGTATCTCCGTCAATAACAAAGTTACCGTGTTGCTACATTTTTTATCAGTTGAAAGGTGCCGCAAACAGAAATGTCATAGCTATTTTCGATTTTTAGACGTAGAGTGTTTTTGAAAATGTTGCATAGACACCCTTTCTAGTTTGGTTATGGGTACACTTATTGAAAAAGTGAAACTGGTCTGGGTAGTGGCGTAGTCAGTTTTCTTTTTTTTGAAATTCACAAATATACAAACTAAACTTGTATTTTTTTTAATGGAATAGCCTGTGTTTATTTTAATAATTTTATTAGGCTTGCTATGAGCATTTCAAATGCAAAACGTATATCTTTCATTTTGTTTTTGAGTAGACCATGCGAAAAAAGGGGTCCGTTTCCTAATATATTTTTGTTGTGAAACACTGAGGACATGTTATAATTATTATTGTTATTTTTGACTTCAGTCCTTCTATTACCGTTTATGTTATAATTTAAAATATGACAATTATGTATAAGTTTATTTTGACAGGTCACTAACTTTTTGTGTTCCATTAAAAAATACAAGTTTGGGTTATACATATATCAAAACTTATCAAGTTCAGAAAAAGACTGACTACGTTACTACATCCTTTGTCAAAAAAAACCTATCCAGACCAGTTTTCACCTTCTCGATAAGTTTACAAATATCGCAAAATAAAATTGCAAAACTTTCAAAATCATCCTGTAACTAAAATTCCAATATAGGTATGAGATTTCTGTTTGTGCCATCTTTCATTTTATGAAAAAATTGCCACTAGCCGCTTAGAATCTAAATATTTGAGGTTTCTAAGTACCTAAAATTCATTTTATTATTTGCAAATATTTAATGAACATATTGTTTGATCGTCAAATAATATGTAAATGATTTTAAAAAGAATCATATTAGTAAATATCGTAATTAAACAATGAGCAAGCTATGTTTTCTTAAGGTAAAATTTGCCTCACGTTTCTAGCACGCCGCCCTCATTCCAGTTTAGATCGAGTTCACTGATCATTCAAAACTGAATACAGTGCAGCAGTGAATTTTTCTTTGTATTTGCAGGCCAAAGTATCGTTATCCATATTATGATGAAAACGGGAACGGTAAACTTCTTTACGGATATGGCGACGACAAACTGTATCAGTACAAAGTATTTACGCCACTGGAAGGAATCCATTAGTACCTAAAACTCATTAATCCAATTAAATTTGGATTTTTAGATTTTCATGTATATAATATATAAACGATAATGTACGTAGTTACGTAGTTAGTTCTGACTCATTTAAGCGGCCTAATTATATTATATCTAGAATCGCGTGCCCAGTGCAAATTTATTTAATATTTGTTGTTAAAATATTTTTTACAATATAAAGTGTTTCAATAATTTTTACGTGTCTTAAAATTAACAATTTAGACGTGGTTTTTATTCAAGCGACACTTATTGCAGGAAAAAATGTTAATGTACTTAGGAATTAAAATTTGGAGTGATTTCGTTATTTTGTTGGTATTTTTTTAAAAAATAGTTCGCGATTTGACATCAGTGCTTTTAGCGTTTCATCCGATCAACATTAAACGAAAAGCTTACCGATTAAATATTAAATAACAGAACTCTAGCAATAATATGATTGCAACTTCCTGACAAACGAGTTTAATTGCGAGCAAAGCGATTTACTGATACTCAGCCTTCTGCAATATTTAATATTTCTTTCATAGAGAGCGCTTTTAATTTTTGCTAGTTTGAAGGTACAATGCGAAAGTGTCCTGAGATATTGTTTTGGGGCTATTTTCTACAAATCACGCACTACCAAAACCGTTAACGGTGCCACGAATAATGCTAACCTGCTGCAGATTCAGGTAGAATGAGCAGGCTAAAGGAGCAAAGGTAATAGCATACTGAATTGCAGAATTAATTGGCACTAATATTCATTTCTCGAAATAATGGGAGCAGTTCAAAAAGGGCAATGTCTAGTTCATTTGACAATAACCATCGGATCGCAATAAGTGGCGTAAAGACCAATAAAGCCTATCTTAACTCTCCCGAACTAGGACCGTTAATCTGTAGACACAGAAAAGTACTTTCGAAATAAACATTTAAAAAATGGTGGGATTGCATGTTTAACAAAATATGCCCAGATCCGATTAAATTTTCTGCGATAAAACGAGTTCAGTAAGTGCACAAATGGCGCAAAATGCTGCTAAGTGCATCAGATTTATGTGACTCCTTAGACAAAAATATCAGTACCCTGAGCTGTAATATTCTAATTTAAAGCTTCTATATTATCTATAATCTATATATCTATATATTTTTCGCATATAATTACTAGATATAGATAAATATTCTTGTAATAATTGTTGTTAAAGTTCTGGCAATAAGGGCGAAATAATAAATAAATAAGGATATTAAATTAAAATTGAATTTTTCCTTCAAGGAGTTAAAATATGAAATCTTGTTGAGTGTAAGTCGCTATTTTTTTAAACAAAAAAAATCTAGTCGCTGGTTTTGTACTGTATCCTTGATACGTTGCCATAAGTTAAGTGTTACTTAAGAATATCATTCATAATCAAGTCAAAAAAACTAAAAAGACGAGGGAAAATGAAACACTGGCCTAACACAAAATAACATTTATTAATTAAAACAAAAATTATAAAACAATAAAGCTCTCATCTCGGTGCTAAAACAGTATAGCTTGATTTTTCGTTTGATTTTTAACATATGCGGTAAACCTCTTCAGAAACTTTGGATACTCTCTTTTGTAAACTGCCCGCAAAACGGACGCCGGTGCCCATCCTCCCGGATTTACTGAAAATTTATGATAAGATAAAATATAGTGCGCAGTTCACATATTTAGCGATTAACCTACCCACTGAACAGTAAGTTATTTTGCATGAAACATTATCTCTTGACAAAGCTGTGCCTTCCTTTGGTGGTATCACTCTAGTCTGACACAGCAGACATACCGTCAAGAATATCCTGACGCATTTGCCTGAGTTTGCCTGGAAATACAAATGTATCCAATGATTTTTAACCTATGACAGAAAATTTTAAAAATTCTCTAATGCTCTTCCTGATAAAGAAGAACTGCCAGTAATCTTTATAATATAGTACGATATTCATGTGTTCTATGTAATGTAATCTGTAGTTATTTGTACTATGACTGTACTGGTACTAAATCATATTTTGAGATTGGTGGTTAGATTATTGCAATGGTGGTTTCATAAGGCTAAAAAGTCAAGACTCTTTTGATTTATAGTTATTGAAATAAGATGAATATTACATAATTTAAAAACAGTTTTATCAAAATGAAAGTTTCTAGTTTAATTCTGAGAAAAGTTTTGATCTATTAAATTATTGAGCGTAGAAAAATATTTATTTGTAAAGTCTAATGCCTCTTCGGGTAAATGATCAGTACCCAGACAACAAAAAAACTGACTTGGTTGATGGCCTAAAAGTGGAAATTTGTTGGAGAAAAATATTAGACCCTAAAAATCAGTAGATAGATTTTGATTTAATAAATGAATGAAAAAACATTGTTGGTATATTAAATCGAGCAATTTTAGTGACTTTGGTAACTTTATCGAACAATTAATAGATCAGAAAATCCTGAAATGAAAATAATACACGCAAAAACGACACGCTTGTGAAGCTTACCGGATAAGTTGAAATTTCAGTCGAATTGTTAACCACGGTCCACATATCTGGCCCCTCCCTGTCTTGATCATTCGGCAACTGCCTTAAGTGGGACCAAAAAACAACATCCCGCTGACTAGCCGGCCATATTCTCTTGTGAACTTGATGAAAAATTAATGTATCCTCGGCTATCGTTTCCAGTACGGTCATGTGTTCTAATGTGGCTGAAAAGAAAAACATATTATAAAACCAAATGTAACAAAAAATTTGAAAAAAAAATAGGTCTTTTAAAAATATCGAAAAAATTTATTGGAAAAAGTTATTTCTTTTCCAGTTTTCTACAAATATACCAATTTTCAAAGAAACTGAAATGGTTTTAAGATTTTAAAGTTTAGCTGATTTTATTACAAATCCGAGGGGTAACTTAAAAATACAATAAAAAAAATTAATAAATATCAAAATAAATAATTTTATCGTTTTTTAACTATACCAGTTTTCTCTTTAAAATCATTAGGGAACATTTTTTGTCAAAATATTTTCTTTAAGTAACTACGAAAACAAAACATATTTATATAGACCTTTAACCTGAAAATCAGTCAAAGAATTACCGCCTGAAGTGTAGTCACATACTTCAGAAACATTTTGCATAGAACCTGTCTGAGCATCCACCACTGACATAATCACTACTAAAAAAAATAACGAAAATGGCGGAAATAACTCAAAAAAAAAATAACAAAAATGACGGAGATAACTATCTTAATGACAATTTTGTAACATTGTTGGGAGCATAGTCCTACAAAAGAGAGTCAAACCGCAGAGCTAAGCTAAGAATAGGGTTGTGGAATTAACCGGTCAAATTTTTTTGTATCAATTCACCGAAATATTTTTTCAAATACAATAAAGTTTATATTTATTAATATTGTGAGTTACGTCGCCGTCGCGTCGTTTTTCCTTGAAGAGGGTTATACAATTAGAAAAAAACGTTGTAGAATAAAAGAAACGCTAGCGATTTGAACAAAATTAAATATGATTTTGCTTCATTGATGCTTTTTTTAAAACAATAATATAAATTGTAACTGTTAACGCTATCTTTAGCCTATAAAGCCCATTTTTTAGTTTTAGGCACATGCAATATTAATGTAATTTTTATTGGAATTAAATTTGCCCTGATTTTTAATTAATAATATCAGTCTTACTTAAAATAAAACGAACAAATTTTTTTTAATCATACCTAATTGATTTTACTTAGGTTTTGGTAATAAAATGAAAGAAAATTATTAAGAATGTTTAGGTGTGATCTTTACCCTTTTGTGGTTGTACTACTTTGTAATGCTTAATTTTATATAAAAATGCTTTTCGATGCTTAGATTTCTTAGAATTTCACTGGAATTCTTTGGAACTCCTTCATGCATCATAATTCCTTTGCGGTTTATCCCCCGCTTCTCATATAGTCCTTTTTATGTTTGTTAGTCATTGCGGTGGTGTACGTAAAAGGCATGTGGAACCTATGTGTGCACTCCCAAAATGCAGCAAAAATAGGAAATGCTATCTCAAATTGCTTACCGACATCTAAAACGGGATGTAGCCTCTTTGGATACGGATTATATGCTGAGGAAACGAATGGAAGAATAAAAAAAATAAATATGAACTTGCGGAAAACGGAGTATCCAAAAATAGGAGAAGTGGAAGATGTAGAGCTAAAAATTCACCAAATTAAAAGGTTAGGCAGTTTAAATCTCCAGGCACTACAATTTCAGCAAAAAGGACAACAAAGAGAGACAGAATACAGCAAGGGCAAAAGGCAAAAAGGCAATAATTCAATAAAATAAACAACAAAAATGACTACAATGCCATTGTAGAACCGGTTATGATATATATGAAAGTGAGTGCTGGCAATTTGGGAAAAAAAAGAAAATAAAAATAGATGAAAGGATTTTTTATTTAGAGTGTGCATAACAATAGAAGATTCCTAATGAGGAAATAATAAGACGAATAGGAAGAGTATTCACAAAACAATTGGTTTAGCATGGCCATGTAAGGAGGATGAACTCTGTGAAAGATGGCCAAAAATAATGATGGAATTATCAACCACACTTACTTTCCCAGTCATACCTATACTTTGGCTCGAAGAAATATTGGCAAACTTCGTGACCCGTTATGCCCTTGACCACATGCACCGCTTTGAGAGGATCCACCACCATGCCGTCGATTTCCTCCTCCCTGCGGTACATCTTCATCTCCCCGTCTTCAGCGAACAGTTGCCACCCCGTTCCGCACTCCCCGATACCCATTCGAGCCATCGCTACCTGCTGTTTTACCACTCTGTCGATCTGCGTAAGTAGAAGCAAACAGTTTTTCACAAAAATATTTTAAACCAGATACTCCGAGTGACATACTTCAGGCCAGAGTTTGTGTTGACAAGCGGGAGAAATGGGAGGAGGTGTGATGGGTATCTGTCCGCTCTTCAGCAGCTCTCTTAGCTCCTGCTCCTCTTCCATTTTGTCCAAGCCCGACTCTATGGCGTCGTAGAACTCATCGTCGGCAAGTATACTGTGGGGTCCCTCCTGATACATAAAAAGAAAGGAAAAATTGATGTTTTTTTTTTCATTTTTCCATACAACGCTCCTATACTTAAAAAAAATAAATATGTAAATGAATGACTTAAAAAATCATCACTTATACTCTTCGCGTCAAAATTAAAGCACCACTATAATTTGGGTCAATTTCAAAGTTAATTTTTTCGCGAACTGATGACTCGATTTGGAAATACATTTTTTTAAATTGTAACTTAAACAAACCTTCATAGTGTTATAATCCTTCTTATTTAAATTTAAGTTTTAGGAATGTACAGAGTGTTTAACGAAGAACCAGTTTCATACTCAATGTTTGCCACAATTTCTGGGAATACGGAATTTAATGTCAAACTACATCGGTCAAGACAAAATAATGGAAATTATTTTTCAGTTTCTAAAATGGCCATCAAGGGGGCGAAAATATTTTCTTGAATTTTAAAACTGTTCCTCAAAAAAATTCTAATGTGAATAGTCTCTTAAATACATTTCGATATCTCCAAAAAGGTTTATCGTATTTTAATAAACTGGAAATAGGTAAAAAGTTAGTATCCAACAATTAATTAGTGACTGAGTTAGTGATTTTTAATAGAAAAATAAGTGGATTTTTTCAAAGAAACTTCCACAGGCTACTGTAATGCTTTTTACAGAACTTCTGGATTCCTCCTGCGTCGGTTTTTGCTTAGTTGAAATTGCTGACGTTTCGCCAATCATCCTGTTGGCTTCTTCAGAGCTTGACTGAATGAGTTTCAGTTAAGCTCTGAAGAAGCCAACAGGATGATTGGCGAAACGTCAGCAATTTCAAGTAAGCAAAAACCGACGCAGGAGGAATCCAGAAGTTTTGTAAAAAGCAGAAAAATAAGTGATTAAACGCTACGGGGTAATTTGGTGCCCTTCGACGAAATTGTAAAAAAAGTAATAAATATTAATAGTAAAATTAGCGTTTTAATTAATTAGACATTAATAACAACCCGTCAAGTAGAAAATGTTCAAAAATTCCAACTTTTTTTTTGAGCGTTAAGTTTTTTTATTCGCATTTGAGGTCAATTTAGGATAAAGATATTGAGATATGGTTTTCGACCACTACAATCGTGTCCCTTGATTGATAGCCCAGAAAACCGCCTTTTATCGACTTTGAATTCATTAAAATTAGTTAAAACTTTTTGGAGATACGGACAATTATTTAAGAAAATATTCGAACACTCCCACCACTTTCCTTGAAAAGATAGAACAAACAGAATTAAACAAAAAATATTTCAAGTCGTTTCGACTTTAAAACGGTTTTAAAATACAAGACTACGCCCCCTGCTGGCCATTTGAGAAACTCGAAAATAAGTGCCAGCATTTTTTATTTCTAATTTCTAGGCCATCCGCTTTCCCAATAGTGTACCTCGACGCCCTTACCAGAGTATATCCAAATCGTATAAGCAGTTGGAGAGAAAATTAACTTTGAGTTTCGATGGTGCGTTAATTTTGGAAAATTTGGCCACAAAACTAAATTTCAGTAGTTATAACAAATATTTTCCACTTATATAAACATCTATTAAATTCATGTTTACAATTGTTTATAAACACGATCGTGTTTGTCTATAAACTTTACAACCTATTGTAAAAATAAACGGGGATAGTGCAAAGCTATATATATTTTTTAATGCTTTAAGGCATATTTGGAGCACATTTTGGGTTAGTAGGTGTCAACTTGTAAAACACCAACCTATAAAGTTCACGATCCCCTTCGGAATATTAACACGATTTGTTAACACACTCAACCAAGGCTGAACATAAATAAATATTTTTAATGACAAACGATATATTTATTTATGTTTACGATCTCATAAACCAATATTTGCTGCTACTTTCCTTTTAACTACTGTATGCATCAGAAGTCTCAAGTCGTGAAACTATTAAAAACACATTTTTGACAAAAAATGTGCACCATTAAGTTTTTTTTTGAACAAATTCTGTGTTTCTCAAGTTATTTTAGTAGCTTTATTTTCGAAAAATAAAAACCAAACAGCAAAACAGCTCTACTAAAATCCACACGCAAGTCTTAATAATAGTCATTTGAAAAAGCACAATCGGCTGAATTTGTATATAATCAAAAGGAATTAGTAATTGGGGCATTGGTAATTGACACTAGACTAGACATTGGGACATGGAGGACAACGGTAGGAACGTATTGGTACCCAATGCTTCATTTTGAAAGTTGGACAACTATTTGTTTATTAACAATTTAAGTGTGAAAAAACATTATTTTTGAGTTGTAGCTGATAGCGTGGTTTAAAAAAAAGTTTCATACCTACAAAATAAACAAAAAGTTATAGGATGAACAAGTCTAAAATGGCTATTTCTTTAATTGATAACAAACAATAGCAGAACATATTGAACAATATTGCGTTCGCAATCTTGTCGATGCGAGTGGGGCTGTTCCACGCTGTGCGCGACGCGGATTTGCATTTCAAAAAAATCGTTTCCCGCAGAGCGCATAGTTTCCTCGCGCACTTGAATGAATAGAATTGTACATGCATCCTTTATGCGTTTCAAATAGGCACTCGATCTAACCTCAAAATCACGTCAAACTCCAATATCTTTAAATATGAAAATTGTAGCGTTCGGTGCGACCTTCAGCATGCAACCTAAAAGCTCAATTTTTCACTGTTTCTTATTTATTTACATTTAATTTTTATCCTCAAAAAAGGCAATTTTCATAAACTTTGTGATTTTTGCCCATGAACGACACTTAACAGCGGATAGAGTTTTACATTTCTACCAAATTTCAAGTCAACCGTAATCTCCCACCACTGTGCACATACGGACAGTCGAAAGAACTGCGGCTAACCAAAACTACTGACTGGCACATCAACAAATTCGAAAAAAAAACGATCTGGCATTTTTGCTTAGAAAAGTTATAATAAGAATCCTCATAAACAAAGCTACAGTGTTTTTTCAAATATTCGCCAAAAAATGCCAGCTATCATCTAGGTGCGAAAAAACAGTTTGAGTGAATCGGATAATAAACAAAAAAGTTATCCCAAAACACCATGAAAAATTACTGTTTTCTTAATTGTTAATGAATACATATTGAAATAAAGCTACAGTGATTTCTTCGACATCTCCGCTCACACTGGTCGTATTCAGATTTTTTTTAATTCGTCAAAAAATATCAGCTATTACTTCTAGCTATCCAGCTTTTCGATAGCATCATTTTCCATATCTATAATTTATTTTTGGACAATACTAAAATAAGAATTGGTCGTTTCAATTAAACAATTAAAAAGAAAACTAAAACATTAATAACAGATTAATATTAGAGAAAACATTGAATATTTTTCTTGAAATTTTCATGACAATGATTTTAAGACCTAAGACACTTCTTTTGGGATATGAATGTTATGCTACGTTTATTAACAATTAAGATAACAGCCATTTTTTACTATAACTTTTTTGTGTATTAACCGATTCACTAAAACCTATTACATACAGCAGTTTCAAGGATTCATTATCACCTGTAACGCTGCATAGTAACGACATTTTTCTAAGCTTTAAAAATATACCTTTTAAAGCCTGTAAAGTCTAACTAAAGAGCTGCTTTTAATGTGGAAGTTAATAGGTTAATAGCTACCAAATAAACTGGGTGGTTCGTAAGGAATTCGACATTCCGAGATTAAACTCGTGGGAATAATGATATTGAGTCAAATATGTCCGTAAAATGTCGTTCATTTGTTTAATACAAGGCGTAGCTCAAGCAGTTTTTGAAATATGGACATAAAAATTTCGATTCGGTGGCTGTTGGAGATGGCGAATACATTCTATTTTTTCAGATAATAAATAGATGGCACTAGTTGTACTCAATAGTACAGCCTTGCTGCTTTTCTTAAAAAGATTATTATAGAGTGATTTCTAAGTAAAAAAGGTGCATTTATTTCGATAAAATACACCATTTTCAAGACATTTCCAATTTTAATTCACTCACCTAATTAAAAAGCCGGCCACTAAAATTTCAATTTCAAAATTGGTTTTCTCACGAACCGTTCGCTTGATTTTGATGATCTTTTTTTGATTGAATCTTAGGGCACAATGCTGTGTCCTACACTTTCATTGAGAATTTGCAACAATGTTGTTTAAATATTCATTATGCCTAAGCATATTAACCACTTAAAGTTTTTTTTTGTTTTATAATAACATTAAAAGATCTTTTAATTAGATAAATGAATATCGCTGTCAATGTGAATGTGTTCATTGCTAATCCATAGCCTACCCATTCCTAATGAACTGTTTTTGAGTCAGCGAAATAAATGTAGTCCTCCTTTTTTACGGAGAAATCATTATTCTTTATTCGCGATCCTCATTTCCAAAATAAAAATAATATTTGTCTCAATATCAACTATGCGTTAGTCAGATGTAGCTGATTAAGATACAGGAGTATGTTCCCTTCAGTTATTTAGTTTACCACTTGGAACCTGGTTATTTTTAATTTTTTTAATTTTTAATTAATTAATTGGTGGCTGTTTTTTAAACAGGTGAACGGCACGAGTTAGTAATTAGCCCGAATCCCTTAGGTTACTAGGGTTAGCTGACCTCAAAAACACACCCGATGCGTTATTATAAAATCAATTAATATCGGGCCACGCAAATAACTTGAAATGGAGATATGCCTTAACAGGCCAAATTTGTCATCCATATCGGTCGAACGGTTTGACGGGAAATTTGAAATTTAAAACTAAAATTTTAAATAGGACACACCGTATTTGTCGAGTTATGTCACCCACATAGCTACTAGATATACAGGGCGATTCAATAAAAAATGGTAATGATCTTGTTAACCGCTTTAGAGATGTCCGTGATTAATAAATAAATATTATTTTTGAAATAACAATATGCTTAACCAGTTATTGATTTCCGAATATGTCCTATTTTTTAAAACGTATTTTTTTTATTCCAGCTATAGTTTTGATCCAAATGTTGGACCAAAAAATCGTCGAGTTGTAAATAGAGATGATAATGGGCTCTCGATCTTTTTTAGCACTGGGTTGCAAAAAACATTTTTTTAATTTTCTTACTTTTCTATGGGTGCGACTGCTGGGCTCTAGACTCTCAGACCGAGAGAAAAAAAGAAGCTTTCGAATTGTACCTTTACAGATGAATGCTTTGAATTTCATGTGTGCAACTAGTGCTGGGGCTGGACAAATGATCACTTCTTAATTGATCGTCAATTGACCATTTCTTACTTGACTAATCAAAAAATGTCTTAAATAACATGTTGCACTTGTAGAGTGCTTTCTATTATTATTAAATTATATGTATTTTATTTTTATATTTTATTTATTTATTTATTTATTTAGGAATATCCGAACATAATACTTAGCGATTCGGGGAATCCCAATATTGATATCGATTGCATCTGGTTCCCAGAACGAAGCGACGGCGACGTAAAGCAAAATATAACTAGCAGGGTATTCTTAAAATTATTTCGGTCAACCCTATGTGCAACGGATCACCAACGAGGAACTTCAACGCCTACATAAACAAAAGGAGTTATTGAAGATCATGAAGGAAAAAAAAATTCAATATTTAGGTCATGTGGTAAGAGATGAATTACTTCGGCTCATAATAAAGGGAAAAAGATCAGCAGGAAGAAACCAAAATTAATTCTTCAAGAGAGGGGGTGAATTGAAGAAATGGAGGAATGGAGAAAATTTTCAAAAGTCCAGATTGTTTTTCTTTTTGGCTAAGCTATGGCATTCGGGGTGTTTCTATTGAAAGAGGTAATTGCTTCGTTTATTCTATGACTAAAAGTTGTGTATCCTAATTTGTTGTTTCCAAAAAAATACAAGGTATCAATTTTTCATTAATAATAAAACATATTTTTACCGATTTTGTTGACGTTTTTGAAGAAAAAAAAAAGATCTCACTGCGTTTTATATATTTTTTGTTTCTGTTCGGATTCGCCGATTGAAAACATAATTTTTCTTTATTTTTTTAAACTACTATCGCATTTTGTTTAAAATCGTTATGGCTATACTAACGTTTGGAACAAATAACTTTGTCAAATATCGACATGAAATCTTGGATTCTTCAGCTTTTGGAGAAGGGAATCCACATGAATTAAAATTAATTAAATTAAATTTATTAAAACGGTGTGGTTCATCAAAATAAATGTAGTATAGCTTCTTTTTAAGAAATCATCACTAGCACTTTTGGGTGTTATGTAAAAAAATAGATTATATTCGTATTCGCTTTCTTGGAAAACCTCCGAATTCAAGTTAGTAGTGAATAAGTATAATATAGGCTTCCCCCACTCCTCTCCCTTTTGTGGGCGTATCCTCCTTCCCCACGACTCTCTAGCTCCTCCGCCTTTACCCATAATCCCTTGAAACTGGTCCCCATTGGATAAGCAACCAGAAATGCGGTTTAATCAATCTCCCCACCTCTAGTTTGCGATGGCGGCGAAGCCAATCAGAGCCCAGATATTTTCCCACCCCTAAGAAAAGCAATGGCGTCAATGAGACTTGATCATATTGTTCGCGTGACCATCTGCACCCTCTAGCGGTTCGAATGTAAACTAGTGTCCCCTCTTGGAATAAGATTTTCTTTAATAAGGTAACCCCACCTAGTGAATATTGACCAAAACATTTATTTTAAAAACATATAATTCTGCGAATGTGTACCCACGCGGGTACAAACTGTACTTTTATTGCGCACAAAGGACAGGGGAAATAAAGACGAAAAGTGTTGGATTTCTTTTCTCGGAACTGGAAGCTGGCAGGCACCACCAATAATATCTGCAAAACAAAAAGCTGGTTAAAATTTTCATTAATAAAGTAGGATATTAGAAACCATATACCTTTTTAATTTACTAAGCAATCTACCGTGCGTTAACTTCATACATATTTCCGCATGCTTCTGTTTTAAGGTATCGTGAAATATTTGACTATTTATCTGGGAAAAGTTCATATGTCGAAAATATTATGTGTATGTGGCTGTGGTAGGCTTTCTTTACTATTATAATTTTATTTTTATTATTTAATATTTACAAAATTAATTTATCTATCTTATTGATGATTTTGATTTTCTTTGCTATTTTTATTATTTGTTTTTATTATTTAATATTTTCAAAATTAATTTAATTTATCTATCTTATTGATGATTTTAAGATATCGCAGTCAACTTTACTATTTCATCAATTTCTTTTATTTATTGCTGATCTTTGAGGATAGTGTACATACTTTTTTTCGTAACTTATCTGTATCTACCCTTTAATTTCCTATCAAGCCATAAAGCAAACTCGAAAGGCATCTTAACTAAAAAGTCATATACTTTAAAGCTGCTGCGACTACTACATGAAAGTGTGTTTCTGTGAAATCTCAACAATAATGAAATCTGGACGCTTATATTAAATACTGTAATACTCTTCTCTGCTAACGCTCTAGGAGACGCTATTTGAACCCTGTTCAAAGAAAAACTTCTACAGCCCAAATAACCCCTCTGAACCACACTTAAGCGCATCACTCTTTCACTGTCTTGCAGCCTTCAGATTAATATTCCGTACTAACTACGTATGCCATACACGAAACGTTCTCTTTTCTAATTTTTTTCTATGCGCTACATTAACGAACAGGATCTAAACTTTTCTGTCTGTGTATTTTGTTAGCCACCTTAAAAAAATTTAAAAAAAGGTATGCGAACCTAGAGGATATTTTCCATATTTTTCACAAATGGTGACAACAATTAATGCAAGTATTATTTTTAATAATAATCCATCTTTCGCAATGACACGAAAACATCGACTTTTTAATTCTAACTTTTCTCATAGAGCTTCCCTTTAGTCTCTATCTGTTCTTTAACTAAATCCCCACCTTTTTGAAAAACCAACCTCTAAAAATAGTTAATTTTCTCTAATTTAAATTTGTACGTTTTCCGCAATATGTGTGAATATTTTCGCTAGAGCATTTAGTTACTTAGTACATGTCCTAATCAATATTTTAAAAATATAATTCTAATGATACGTGTTTACGATTTGAAGATAACGAAACATTCCCCAGTTTCATAAATGAGAGCTCACTGCCAAACTACCAAACATCACAGTACAAACTACCGTACTACGCCCCCTGGACAAAATCAGGTCAGTCAGCGTCATTAATTCTACCTGCGTTAACGAATAGCGTATTGTTAATTATGGTTTAATACGCAGAAAATTTAAGTAACAAATAATTGCAATGAAACTCACTAACATCATAAATTATTAAAAAAAAAATTAGAACAGTTGGAATTTACTGGAGTAACCAATTTGGCACTAAAAATGGAAATTTTCGATACTCTACTAGGTGCCTACAATAAATTTTACTATTATTTTTTAATGCAGAGACACAACGATTTTCTAGTTCTGAATTTGATCAGGGGTATATGACCATAGTTTACGCCGACTCTAAAAGGCATGCAGTCTATTGTTTTTGAACGCCCCATTTTGTGTATTATGTTCAAAACAGAGACTCTCTGGGCTTACGACTACAGCTACCAGCTACTACTTTCAATAATATTAACACAAAAAAAGTAGGTGGCATTTCTATAATACGTGCAAAGTTTATGTGAAACTGACTGGAAGACAGAGTAATGCACCAATATGTTACTAAACATATTTCGATAGAATTCCGTAAGAGCTTACCTCCAAGTTTCCTCATTTAGTCAGTCAAAGCATCAAATGGGAAATTCCAATCCAACATAGGTAGTGGTGGAAATATATCAATCGCCTACGTTACCGATGGTACCCGACTGAAGCTTCTGCGTCTTCTTTACCCCACATGCCTACTTAAAAGATACTGGTCTAAGTCTCAATATTCCTGTTAAAAAAAGAGAGGTTCTATATTGCCATAACTATGTGTTTTCAAAATTTTACCTGAATGGTTCGTGATTCCTTATATATGCAGTGTTGGCAGCAATGTGGCGACGACTACGCTGAAACTTTCCATATCTCGTGTCCCCATGACTGGTCTGTTTCATATATCAAACCTCACCTCGCACGGGTTTGAACCTCCTTTAAAAAAAAAAAAACAGGCAAGACTTATACTTATATCAAAGTAATACGAGGAACTTATATTTTATGCCAAAACTTATTTCATCACCTCCAAAGGGGAGTAGGGGTTTCTAAAGTATGGTAGGTACATCTCTTTCATTTTTTAATTAAAAAAGTGACACAATTACGCGACGTAACTCGATCCGGATCGTTAACGCGTCTCAAGATGGGGGTTTAGAGATGCTGAGGTCATTAAATTGATTCACTATTACCAGTACACACTGAAACTCCTTATTTCCAAAATAAAAAAATTGTTAACTGTTAACACAACAAAAAAAACTATTTTCTCACCAATTATATTTCTGGGTCGTTTTCAGAATTTGTCCAACGTAGAATCCCAAGAGGATAGGGCCGCAATTTCGAAAAATGTTCATGTCTCCCCACTATGCATTTGTACAAGAAGCAGGGCCGGATTAACAGCAATTATATTCTTGTCAGTCAACATACAGCCGCCGATTGAATTCTCGGATTCTGCTTTACTAGTTGCCATGGTCTGTCAAATATGTTACTTAAAAATTGTATATTTTTTTTTTACAAATAATATACCTTTCCTAAAATAATTCCGCCTTTGTCAAGTGGGACACGGGCACGTCTGTCCGCTTTGAAAAGCGCAGGCGTATGTATCTTCCAAAATGATCCAAGCAGGCCCGGATTGCCAGCAAATACACAACTCCCCGATTCAATTCTGAGATGTTGCTTCACGAGTTACCATGATCTGTCAAATATTTTAATTAAAAAAAATCTATTATTTAGCAACAATATACCTTTTTAAAATAATTTCGTCTTTTTTCAAGTTCAACAGGACACGTGTGTTCGTTTCAGTTGGACAAGGGCACGTCTGTCCGCTTTGAAAAGCGCGGCGTATGTATCTTCCAAAATGATCCAAATTGTTAACCTTTTTTTGATTCCTCGTTCCCCGATTCAATTCTGAGATGTTGCTTCACGAGTTACCATGATCTGTCAAATATTTTAATTAAAAAAAAAATCTATTATTTAGCAACAATATACCTTTTTAAAAATAATTTCGTCTTTTTTCAAGTTCAACAGGACACGTGTGTTCGTTTCGAAAGGTTTCGTAGTCTGTAGCTCTGTCGAATTCTCCAAAATTCGTTAAACCTTCAGATATTTTCAAAATTTGTCCAACGCAGACTTCCACTCACGCAGTTTCGAAAACTTTCTGGTCTCCCCGCCATGCATTTGTACACGAAGCCGTTCTGGACTATCAGCAAACAGCACATCCGTCATTTTTCTTCTCGGATTCCGCTTGACGAGTTACATCGATCTGTCAAATATTTAATGTAAAACAATCTTATCTATCACTTTTACCCAATATTAAGTACCTATTCAAAATTAGTAGCGCCTTTTCGAGTTCGAAAGGTTTCGTAGCCTATAGCCCTGCCGAAATGGCATTGCATTTGTACACGAAGCAGGGTCGGATTGTAAGCAAACAGCACCCCGGTCACTTTTCTTCTCGGATTCTGCTTGACGAGTTACATCGATCTGTGGAATATTTAGCGTAAAAAAAAATTATCTATTACTTTTACCAAAAATGAAGTACCTATTCAAAATTAGTAGCGCCTTTTCGAGTTCGAAAGGTTTCGTAGCCTATAGCCCTGCCGAAATGGCATTGCATTTGTACACGAAGCAGGGTCGGATTGTAAGCAAACAGCACCACCGGTCACTTTTCTTCTCGGATTCTGCTTGACGAGTTACATCGATCTGTGGAATATTTAGCGAAAAAAAAAATTATCTATTACTTTTACCAAAAATGAAGTACCTTTTTTCTTTAAAACAGTTCGTCCTTTTCGAGTTTGAAAGGTTTCGTAGCCTATAGCCCTGCCGAAATGTCATTGCATTTGTACACGAAGCAGGGTCGGATTGTCAGCAAACACCACAAGCGTCACTTTTCTTTTCGGTTTCCGCTTGACGAATTACATCGATCGGTCAAATATTTAATATAAAAAATATCTATTTTACCAAAAATACGTACTCTTCTAAGATAAATTAGCTCTTTTCGAGTTTAAGAGGACACGTATGTCAACTGTAGGATGTTTTATTATTATATTTTCCAGTGTCTATAAATTAATAAACAACAGAAGCTTCCGAATACAAAAATTTCAACATGAGTTTTTTTTCTTGAAATTTAAAAGTTCTAACCCCTAAAACCATATTTTAATACGCTGGCGGACGTATAACAATCCCCAAAAATTACCATATTTAAATTGTTACTATTGATATATTTCTATTCCGAACTTAACTCAATACATGCAAAAAAAAACTAGCGAATGTTATTTATTATCTCCGATGGGTGGATGATTGAGAAACGTTTAAATAAATCTACCTTTCTGTCTCTCTTTTTCTATATAGGTCACTCATTCTCTCTATCTGTTACTTTCCACAATCCGAATTTACACTTGGCCCCCCAAAAATCTTGTAAAATTTTATCTGCTTAACTTCTTCGCGTTGTTCATATGGCTGAATTTTTTGGGAGATATATCGTGCGTTATTTCTATTAAAATTCTGTTTCCTTTTTACCTACTTCAAAAACGTAAGCGAGCATTTTTGGTTGTTTTATTAAACAAAAATTGATACTAACCAAGATCCGTATCTCCGACCTCAGCTTCCTTTGATCACTCCCCAATTTTTTTTAATTAAGTATAGAAACCTCGTCGAACATATACATAATACTAGGTCAAAATGTTACGCGGTTACTCATTAAAGTCGCAATTCCGAAAGCTTCTTACCTATCTTTTTCCAGTCTTTTTTGTTTTATTTATCCGTATATGAAACACACATTGAACACAAAACTTAAACTCGTTGGCGATATTGCATTAAGCAACAAACGCGTATAACAGAAACGAACCCTTAACACAAACGCTTCTTTAAACTTCGACTGACACGTGAAACAACCCGCATTCCTACGAAAGGCAGGTAAACCAAGCAGGTCAAATTTTAAGCTACCCTCCAGTGTCGTCGTAGGTTGGGGCATAGTAAATAGCGAATACAACAAAGCGGTAATTTATAATAATTTAATTTGCATTTTATTTAACTTAAGTTGTTTTGTAGAAAATGAGACATTTCTACAATTAATCAATATACTACGAGTACTTTTCCGCTTAATTACTATTTTTGAGAAACAAAAGGAAACGTTAGATTCCATTCAAACTTTTTCGGTTTTCATGATATCTCGCGTTTATTTAGAAGCTAATGGCCTGTGGCCTTAACCAGACGTTTCCAAAGCCTGGTGTGATATTATGTATATAAATCTTAACAAACACGAAAAATAGAGTTATATTGCCACCGAAAATCTGAATTTATGTTTAAAAATGTAACTTCCCGTATTTAAACTATTGCCTGCATTGGCGCCTATATTTTATAGTTTTTTTTTTGTATCCTATTTTTTTTTGTTTTGCTTGCAAATGTGTGTCCATTTTTCGGGTACTGAATTTTTTTTTCTCAAATTATTACAAATTACTCAAAACGGAGTTAAAAAGAGACGAGGAGAAAAGGGTAGAACCCTTATTTCTCCGACACTGACCTCCGATGTTTATAAAAATTGACCCCTTGACACCCTCCCCGTGAATATTTTACAAAGGATTTTTAAAATTTAACTTCCAAATAACGCATACTCTCGCCTAGTGTCACAGTTTTGGGCCCCATTTTGCTATGGTTAGACAGGTTTATTCTTGTACATTGTCGGGACAAAAGAAGCATCTCCTTCATCCAAATTGACTTTTTCATACCTAATATAACAGCTGCCGGGCATCATCTCGCCTTAATTGTTTCTATTGAATTAATTTTAGTTACAAAAAATTAGATGATCGTCAAAATTGGCATAAAAAGATAATCAAGATTTAATTAAAACAAGAATATGCACAAAAGAAAAGAGATAAACTCCGACACGGGAAACAAGGAAATATCGCTGAAACGGCAATTGATCTAGCGCGCGCCTTTTTTAAAAATAATAATTTTTCAAAAGAATTCTAGGCTAAGCTAAATACCTGGTGCAACAAAATATTGAAGGATCTTCATGATCCTACCTGTGAGCGAGTAGAAAATTATTTGCAAAGAGGATAAAGGTATATCTTAATATAAATAGTTTCACTATTGATAATATGTCCCCTTTTAAAATGGCGCATTATTTGATACGTACTTTTTTCTTGTCAGAGCTTGTCTAAAAAAAAAAATCGGGATGGATGGAGGTTCTCCGTCAGGTTTTTTTCCTGTCGAAACAAGTATGTGCGGCGTTCGCTTTGGATCTGGGGGAATGGGTGGGGTTATACATATATAAGCTATAAGAAATTTTAATTTTTTATTCAGTTTCCACTCATACAATTTCGTGATAAGTGCAGAGTGAGAAAAATGTCCGAAGTCGAAAATTATCCAACGCAAGCATTGGATTCGTGGGGAAGATTTGTGGTCAATGCGGAAATAATCCGCGAACAAAAATACATTTACGAGGCAGCAATTACGCTGCCGGAATTCGGACTAGAAATTACCTCAGGTCTTAGCCCAGCAAGAATCTTCGCTCCGGCAGTGAAAGTGAGCTTTATCCCCTACGTTTTGGCGGAGAAAAGAAGCATTTCGTTCGACGAGATAGACTTCACAGAATTAATACAACAGCTTCCATTGTTATTGTTAGCAGGCCCGACTGGTAAAGTTATGTATTTAACCTGCTTCAAACTCAGCTGTCTACAATGTGATGGTGAAGTCTTGGTCAAGATTGAAAATAGCGAGGGTATACTCTATATTTCGAAAGACTGGGTACAGAAATTAATTACCATAAGCAAATTGGTATTTAAAAGAATACGAGTACTGTCTCGTTTGAACTTTTACGAGTACTACGATAGAATATTGTATTTGACTATACATGAAAATTTACTGGAAGACGCCAAAATCTTTCCGCATATAGAATATTTATGTTCTACAGAAGAGAGTGAGCAGAGCTACTGCATGGAGGACTACATGCGTTTTGGAAAAATGCAGATAAAACAAGATATCAACAAAAGGATAGCATGGGACATACCTGTGTTTTAATAGAAATTTACCTGTAAACTAATAATAATAAATGTATTTTTAAAATTCAGTGTGTGTGTATGTTTTATCCTTACCCCCATAAAAAAAAGTAAAAAAAAACAAGTAATTGCGTAAAATAACTTTATTAAAGAAAAAAAAAAATAACAACAAAATATATTCAAACAAAACATGGTACCACCGGAATGAAACCATCAGAAATTACCCCAACAACGGAGATTCTCGCATATAATTTACCAAAAAAAATTTGCAGTGCAAAAGTCAAAGTTCAAAGCTGGCGATGCAGTGAGCATAAGTCGCACAAAATCGGTTTTTGACAAAAGCTATGAAATTAATTGGACACCCCGAAAATTTCAAGATTGTTAAAGTAAGTGGTTCCTTCCCTCTTACGTATATTTTGGAAGATGTGGAGGGGCGTTAAATCAAAGCTTCGTTTTATGAAGTCGAATTACAAAAACCGTACTACCAAATAGTCGATTCGACTATTTGGTAGTACGGTTTTTGTAATTCGACTTCATAAAACGAAGCTTTGATTTAACGCCCCTCCACATCTTCCAAAATATACGTAAGAGGGAAGGAACCACTTACTTTAACAATCTTGAAATTTTCGGGGTGTCCAATTAATTTCATAGCTTTTGTCAAAAACCGATTTTGTGCGACTTATGCTCACTGCATCGCCAGCTTTGAACTTTGACTTTTGCACTGCAAATTTTTTTTGGTAAATTATATGCGAGAATCTCCGTTGTTGGGGTAATTTCTGATGGTTTCATTCCGGTGGTACCATGTTTTGTTTGAATATATTTTGTTGTTATTTTTTTTTTCTTTAATAAAGTTATTTTACGCAATTACTTGTTTTTTTTTTACTTTTTTTTATGGGGGTAAGGATAAAACATACACACACACTGAATTTTAAAAATACATTTATTATTATTAGTTTACAGGTAAATTTCTATTAAAACACAGGTATGTCCCATGCTATCCTTTTGTTGATATCTTGTTTTATCTGCATTTTTCCAAAACGCATGTAGTCCTCCATGCAGTAGCTCTGCTCACTCTCTTCTGTAGAACATAAATATTCTATATGCGGAAAGATTTTGGCGTCTTCCAGTAAATTTTCATGTATAGTCAAATACAATATTCTATCGTAGTAC